CCCTCCTCCTCCCCATCCTCCTCCCCCTCCTCCTCCCCCTCCTCCTCCCCCTCCAGTGGCCTCAGGAGCTGAGGCCTGGAGGGGTGGCAATGGGGCGGGGCGGGGAAAGTTGAGCTTCTGCTGGGGCGGGGAGTCGGGGGGGGGGGGGGGAGATAAAAAGCAGATCGGGGGGTGGGGGGACGGTGTGAGAGCAGGATCCGCGCGGCGCTCGCTCCCTCCGTGGTCCGGGTCCCCGCAGTCCCCTCCCCGGGCGGGCTGGCTTGTCCGCAGCTATGGGCGCTGTCATTTCTGCCCTGCTGGTGGGGGGAGGGCTGGCCGGGGCGTTCTTCGTCTGGCTGCTGCGGGGCGATCCCGGGGACCGGGATGCGGGGACCGGGGAGGGGCGAGAGCTGTCGCCTGCGGGGGCGGCCGCAGCAGCCCCGAGGGGGGACGGAGGGGACGGAGGAAAGGATGGCGGGGACCTCCCCAAACAAGAGCAGGCGGCCCGACTCAGGGAGCCCAGGGGCGATGGGAATGTCAAGAAAGCGTCCGGAGGTACGTGCCCTTCCCTTGCCCGCACCCCTCACTGGGGTGTTTGACGAACCGTTAAGGAGCCGAAAGGGAGCTGACGATGGGTGGGAGTGGGGTGCGCGGTGTGGACACACCCCTAACTTTGCCTGTAGCTGCCCCACTCGGTGCCTACTTTGCCCTGGGGTACTTTGATTTGTGGGTCGACGGGGGGGACCCAAAACACCAACCTTCCCATTCTCGACAGGCGGTGGGGTCCGATGGAAAGAGTCAGAGAGTCTGGAATCAAATATTGACTTGGTCACTCATTACCTCTGCGACTTTGGGCAAGTCACTTCATGCCCCCAGGCCTATAGCTGGAGGCGGGGTGGAACGGGACTACGGTGGATTTAAAATCTTACAGTCTTCATTCCCCTTTCCTCATCCGTGTCCGCCACCCATTTCCCAGTGCTGCTTGACTGGGAGTGGGGTGGTGGTGGGGTGCCTCCCCTCCTCCTGGACCCTGGGCCCTGAGAGGCCCAGCTCAGGCTCAGCAGAACCTGCTTCACGTGCTCTTCTCCCTGCTCCCCACCCCCCCCCCATGTCAACACTGTATCCCTCCCCCTTCCCCAAGTTAGGCAGAAGGGCTCAGAAACCCCGAAGGACGGTCCCGCCCCATCCCCTGAGGCTGGGCATTGGTGTGGGGACCTTTAATGAATCTGCCCTCTCTTCTGTAGGTTTGATAAGTTGGGGGAGGGAGTGTAAAATCATGTAAGCTAAATTGGGAAGGAGGTGAGTGGCAATGAAGGCCTGTGTCTTCCCGGGGAACTCTTGGACAGTCCCACTCTAGAATTCTGCAGACACCCCCACCCCACCCCCTCCCTGTGGCAGTTAGCTCAGAGAGACTTCTTAGTCATTCATTTCAACAAACATTTGTTCTCAGAACCACAGTCTGAAACCCTTTCAGGGAATCTTAGAGGTCAAAACTATTTTAATAATATTATTAAGATGTTAGTAAAAAAAAAAAATCTTCCTTTATACAATTGTATATGAATGACCTAGGATTTTCTTCATGAACTTCAACCAAAATAAAATATTCATGCAGAGGCAGATAGAAGAATCCAGCTGTATTCTATCTGGCCAGGCTTTTGCAAGGAAATGTAAAACAAAGCTATTTTTCTCACTAAATGTTTTAGGAAAATAGTTATTTTTCATAAGAAGATGTTATTTATGTTAACATAAGATGCTATTTTATGTTATCATATGATACTATTGATGTAATGGGTTTATTATTTTAAAATTAATATTTTAAACGTTTATTAGTTTTAATTCCTAATGTGAACATATTTATCACTAGTTACAACCCACATAAATGAAAGGTTTTTGGGGTCCTCAATAATTTTAAGAGTGTAAAGGAGTCCTTGATAATTTTTTTTAAGACTATAAAGGGATTTTGAGACCAAAAAGTTTGTGAACTACCACTGCTCTAGGCAGCTCAGATGATCTGGAAAGAGTCGACTGGCTATTTGGGAGGGGATATGGGAGTGGACACAGGGAGAAATGAGATTGTAGTTAGGACACCTAGGTTTGAACCCCAGCTCTGTCACCTACAAACCTTGACACATCCAGGGACATGTCAGTTCCACTTTCTGGGTGGCACTATCTTAATCTGAAGGGGTTAGAGCAAATAAAGTCTGAGGCCCCGTCAATTGAAAATCTTGTGGGTGAGACTATCCCTACTGGTGGATAAACCACTCTTGGGTTCTATTTTTATGGTCAAATATACCTTTGTATTGTGAAAGCAAGGTGCTAGGGACAGGGTCCCGACAGGGTGCTCATCTGCGGAATGTGCCTGATTGATTTTAATTATAGAGTTTTCTACGCTGTTACTTTAAACTCTTCTGTTCCTATGTGGACTTTTTTAATCTGAACCTCTGATTTCACTGGTGTAGGCAAACTCCTTCTGCCCAATACGAATTGGTGGCTGCTCTGCAATTTATAGTCTTGGAAAGTTGCCTAGGGCATGGAAAGGTTAGACGTGTCCTGAGTCACACAGCCAGTGTGTGTCAGAGATAGGACTTGAAAGGCAATTCCATCCATTACCTTGGCCTTTAGCCTCAGAAGAGAATAGGGTAGCCTCCCATAAACATGCTCAGCTCTATCCTATCCCACACCCTCTAGCTAGGATTCTGTGTCTTTCTAACCTTTCACTTCTAAAATCCTTCAAAGAATCATCCACATTTTCCATCCCTGTTTCCTTACCACCAACTCCCTTGTCGATTTCTTTTACAAGCTGGCTTTCTAAGCCATTCTGCTGAAACTGCCCTCTCCAAAGTTAGCAATGATCTCTTGGTTGCTAAATCTGATAATCTCTTCTCAGTCCTCATCATTGACTTCTCTGTAGCTTTTGCACTGTTGACCACTCCATCCTCCTGAACACTTTCCTCTTTATGTCCAAGACACTGCTCTTTCCTAGTTCTCCCATGTGTCTGCTGCTCCCTCTCTGTCTTGTTCACTCTATTTTCATCTCTTGCTCCCTTACTTTGGTTATTGCCCAGGGCTCTGCCCTCGACCCTTTGCTCTACGTGTACTCTTGGAAATTTCATCATTCACCCATTCCCTGGGTTCAGGTATTTTTATGCAGCTGTATCCCAAATACACGTGCAGCTAGGTGGTGCAGTGCACTGAGAGTCAAGAAGACCTGAGATTAAATCTGGCCTCAGATACTAACTAGCTGTGTGACCCTGGGCAAGTCACTTAACCCTATTTGCCTCACTTTGCTCATCTGGCAAATGAACTGGAGAAGGAAATGGCAAATCACTCCAGTATCTTTGCCAAGAAAACCCCAAATGGGGTCATAGTCACACACAACTAAAAATGATTAAACAACAATCCTAAACATGTACTTCCAGCTCTAATCTCTTTCTTGAGCTCCAATCACACATAGCCAACTTTCTGCTAGATAACACCTTATCAAAAATGAACTCCTTTATTCAAGGGTGTTAAGAGGCTCAAATAGATGATGAGTGTGAAGCACTTTGCAAACCTTAAAGTACTATATTAATGTTAATAATATTATTATTGGCCTCCGGTCTGGCGATGATCTCATTTGCTGTTTTCTACTGTATGCCTGGTGACCTCAAGCAACTGTTTATAGAGCAAATACAAGGGTGTGAGGTAAATGTTTAACGACTGTGCTGGGTGTTGGGGGCAGGGAGAGAGATGCATATACGTACACTTCTAAATTTAATTAGCATTATTAACACTTTCTCAAGCCTAGACAATAAAACTCTGATTCGTAAGATTGTTGATTTCTGGGCGGTGAATGCTCACGATGAAAAGAAAACCATCAGCTCTCAAGCCCAATGGGTTGGAGCTGGCTTCAGCATAGAGCCCTGTCTTTGTTCTCTCCCCCTCCCTACCTCACTTCTCAATTTCCCAAAGCCAATCAGTTGTCAAGTCTTGTCAATTCTACCCCCCACTCCCCCCACAACTTTTCTTGTAGGATTCTCGTGTCCACTCACCGTTCCAGTTCCCACCCCCCATCAATTCTTACCTGGAATATTGCAACAGCCTACTAATGGGCCAGCCTCCTCTGGCCTCTGTGTTCCAGTCCATATTCTGCTAAAATAACCACCCTAAGTCACAATCTGAGGGTGTCACTCAAAACTCTTTAATTACTCCCTCCCCAGTGCCTATAGAATAAAATCTACGCTTCTTAGCTTGGCTTATAAGAGTGGATGGCTCACTCCTCACTCTGCTTCTAGCTCCATTTCGAAATTTATTTTTTATACTACTCTCTTACAAACTTTATATTCCATCCAGACTAGCCCCTGAACTCAATGTTCCACCTCCTGCCCCCTTTCATTTGCACAAGCTGCCCCCCCAGCCTAGAATGCTCCCCCTCCTCATCTCTGCCTCAGAACCCTTATCTTCCTTCAGCGTGCTATCTCTCTGTGAGATCTTCATTGATTCTTTGAGCTGGTAGCATCTTTCCTCCTCAATTTTCATCATATTATACTATATATAATGTATGTATACATATACATATACATACATATATATATATATACACATATTATCACCTCTTCCTTTCTTCCCCCTCCCCCATGTAAGCTCCTTGAGAACCAGGATCTTTTTATTTTTATTTCTGTATCTCCAGGACCTAACATTTAGGTGCTTCATAAATACTAGTCAAATTGAAATAGAACAACACCCGAAATCATATTACTTGTCTTCTCAGTGGCTGGGGGAAGGAGAGAATTTGGAACTCAGAATTTTGTTAAATGTTTTTTAAAAATAAAAAAAAATTAAAGAATGTCACCCTAATATTTTAGGAAACTTTAATTATTTTGGAATCATGGTTTTCCCCTTTCTTTCTCCCTCCCCAGATTTAGCCAAGATAAAAGGATTGGACTTAGCCAGTTATATCATTCATACCTCCATCTTCCCCAAGGAAAAACAGAAACAAACCAAACCTGATATATGATTTTAGAGTCGTAGAAAAAGGTGGTGGAGCTTTTAGGATTACCACAATGGTAGTAGAGAAGGAAACTGCCTTTGGTAAGGCTTAAGGGATATGCTTTTCTCCCAGCTGACAAAATGCATTGACTATTGAAACCATGGCCGATAAGGTAGAGTTCTTACCCAAGAAGTAGAAGTTCTTACCCAAATAATTTTGAAAGCAAAATCCAGTCTTTCTCCGGCCTTGACCTCTAACTGTTATTCCGGATGCCTGTGGAGCCACAAAGAATGACTTGCAGTTAATTGTTCTTTATTTGGGGCGGTGCATCTTCTGGCCTCTGGTTAGCAGGAGCGAGCATTGTTTGCAAACCCTGTCCTTGTTTGTTGATCTTTGCCCCGCAGGCTGGACAACATTTGGCCCTATTTGACCACTGGCCTGTTGGGTGCTCTGCCCTGAAATCAGCAACCTCTTTTCTCCTTGCCTTCCTACCCCACTAAGCTTCCTTTGTTACATATAGGCAGGTAGTGGCTTATTTCTAGCTTTAGCTTTAGGGTTATAGCCTTGTTCTCAGCCAGTCAGAGCTAGCATTTTTTAAGCTAGTGTGCTAGCATTCTGTGCCAGGCGCTGTGCCAAGTGCTAGGGATACAAAGAAAGTCAAAAAACTAGACCCTGCTCTCAGGAGGTATAGATCTGTATCCTGAGAGCACTACTACAAACCAGCTAAATAATATGTTTAAGATCATAGATCTTTGTTGACATAATGTCGATTTTTTTGTCATTGCTATTGCTTGTTCGCTTTCAGTCATGTCCAACTCTTTGTGACTCCATTTGGGGTTTTCTGGAGTAATTTGCCATTTCCTTCTTCAGCTCATTTGACAGATGAGGAAACTGAGGCAAACAGGGTTAAGTGATTTGCCCACAGTCACACAACTAGTAAGTGTCTGAGGTCAGATTTGAACTCACGAGTCTTCCTGACTCCAGGCCTGGCACTCTATCCACTGTGCCACCTGGTTTACAGATGAGGAAAAACTGATGTGTGATTTCGAAGACTTAGAAAAAGATGGACAACTTTTAGGAATACCAAAGTGGCGGGTAAGAAGGTTTTAATAGGGATTTCATGCTGTTTTTTCTACCCAGAGAGAGGAAATAATTTATCCAAGGTCACACAGGTTGCTGAACAAGCAGATTCAAACCCAGGTCTTCTTAACTCCAAATCCAGCATTTTTTCCACTGGACCAAATTAAATGATTAAACTGAGACCTAAGGAAGTTAGGGGCCTCCCTCAAGGTCATATAGCTGCCAGGTAGCAGATGCAGGATGTGAACCCAGGTCCTGATTCTGAAGTCTCCCACTACATCATGTTGCCTTATTAATATCTGACTTTTTATGGGATTCCTAATTTTGTGGAAAGGCCAACCTGAATCTTTGATAATTGAACCCCTTCTTCTTTTTTTTTTTTTGCAAGATAGCATTTATCCATCTGAGGTTTGTTGGTATCTGATTTGTTTGTCTGAGGCAGACTTAAGAACTTTCAGACAATTGTTGTTCATTTGTATCTAAGAGTTATCACCTTTCCTAAATGAATCATCTAATGCTTGCAATGTTCTAATACTTTTTGTCTCTCAGAGCAACATCAGGAAAGTGATGGACATTTGGTGTTGGAGTCCAAGAGCGGTGACCTTGATGGTCCAACCTGGAAACCGCAGAATATTTCTAGCCAAGACTTTGACAGTCTAAGACCAGGAGAGCAGCTCTATTCCCAACAGTTGCTAGGGACAGAATCTCTGACTCTCTCTGGGCTTCCTAACTCTGTGAACCACTCAGAAGTGTTAAGTAGTGAAAACCCAGAACCTTCTCCAGCAGCAGATGCTCTAAAAGGACAGGAGGCATCCTCCCAAACAGCTGTGTGCCCTTCAGGGAAGTTCTCTTCTGATAATTTACTCGTGGACAAACATGAAGAATATCTGAAAACTCAAAAGGCGGCAGGTACAGATCTGGTTCATCGTGAGGACTGGAAAATGGTATCTGAGCACTCAGTGTGGAGAGACGCTGGTAAGGGCGAGAGCTCTGAGCCTTCTCATGCTGGTGTATCTACGCCTGAACTCCAGACGTCGAGCGCAAGCCAGGGACTGGACCATGGAAGAGACTCCCTCAAGGACGCCAAAGGTCAAGAGATTCATTTGAAAACAAAGAGAGTGGCAGCAGTGTTCCCGTTATCTCAGCAAGTCAACGTGCAGTTCCAGGTTCATTATATCACCATGTCTGACACCGCCATTGTGGCAGTAACTGGAGACCATGAGATCCTCGGCAGCTGGCAAGGTTACATCCCACTCCAGTGTGGCAAGGATTGGTTCTGGTCCAGATCTGTTCCCTTGCCAATGGATACAGCACTGAAGTGGAAATTTGTGATCGTGGAGAATGGGAGCATTGTCCGTTGGGAAGAATGCAGTAATCGACTCCTAGAGACTGGGCATGAAGATACAATTGTTCATAAATGGTGGGGCTGTCACTGACTGGTTTGGGGAAGTGTCAGAATAACTTTTAGGACTATTGTGGGGTTTTTTTATTATTACTATAGATTTATTCCACAAGAACTCCAGGGTTATCCTCAGTAGCTCTTTTAGCCCCTGGAGTTTATTAAGAGTTATTGACTGCATTTATATGAAGATGCTGCTTCTGAGTGTGCCTCCTCCTTTCCCTTCCCCCACTCCATAGAGCTTTTCGGTTTCCCATCCGTTAATGTCCTTGTGCTGGTCCGTTCTTTCTTCATTGCTCAGTTGCCTTGGCACAAGGAACTAGCTGAAGGGTTCTGTCGAGTGGTCACAGTGGTTCAAACTTGTGGAGAACCAGCACATCCTTTAAAGATCACCTGACTTCCTGCTAGTTTAACAAATAATGATGATGTCCTTTGGACTCTGTTTCAGAGTCAAGGAATAATTTTGTTGCCTTTCTTTGTACCTCTGGTGCCTGGTACAAATGCCTGTTGAGTGATTGACTGATTGAGTAATGAAGTGAAAGAGTCTGGTCTTCCAAATGTCACTAGCAAAGGCATGAAGTATTATTTTAGGATAGCTTTCATAGGCTTAGGCCAACATTTGGAGCATTGCTTTTGTTTTTCGGTGTGTTCTTGGAGGGAGAAGAATGTGTATTTTTAGCTTAGTTCGCTCGATGACTGACAAAGTCATGGTAAACTCCCCCTGACTGTATTCCCTCTGGGGATGGGGCAACAGAAGCAAGATGCTGGTGGAAGTAGGCTCCCCAGTAGCCCTTCCTAGAGAATAGGAAGCGCTAAGATGCCGCATGGATTCAAGTGAGGCCCTTAAACTGTACACTTCAGGTGCCCCAATCTGGAAAGAAGACATTTCTAGCCTGGAACATTCAACATCTGTTATTTCCATCTCAGCCCTGTCCAACGTGTATGCAGTACGTATGTTCATACTTATAGTTCTGGTGGGCAGTACTGGGGTCTATAATCACAGTAGTAGGCAACCTAGGACAATACTGTTATCCTGGGAATTGTGGGGAAAGTGTGCTTGGAGTTGTTGGAACTAAGTATACAATAAAGCTTGCTTTTTTCATGTCTTTGACCATTGTCCAAATAATCATGTCTCAATCTCAGTATGTGGATAACTTTGTAAAGAAAACACCAATAGTCTCTGACCAATTATAAAACTAGAGGTGTTTGGGGGAGATTTTTATGGTGGCAAAGAGTTGAGATCGTATGACTAGCTTTTGGTGGTAGGGTGTAGGAGAGGGGAAAAGAGGGCTGAAATCTTAGGATTTTCTTATCCTTCTGCTAGGAGGGAAGTGCAATCTATATTAGCTTTGGCAACTAAAAACAAAAGTAAATAGATTCTTTTTTAAAAATACTTTCAAATATCTCCCCCCCCAAATAGAAATAAACAGAGTTTATTAGAGGAAAAAAGCTGGCTCACTTCCAAAACAAGCCAGCTGAAAATGAGTTTTGGAAAGTTGGAATCCCTCAAGGTTATTTATCTTTTCCTTAGTAGGTTACCAGCTTGAAAGTATCCATGGGAACATTTACATTTTGATAGTGTGGTCGAGTTCATTTGCATATATTATCTCATTGGGTCCCCGTGTGAACCTTGTGATATTAAGCAGGGCTGGTGGTCATCCTTGTGGAAAAGGATGAGGAAAGGGATGAGAAGTAAAGTGATTTACCCAAGGTCACACAGCTAGTTAGGTAATAGAAATGGGGCCAAGACTTGGCTTGGGGCTTTCTGCAATTTTGATTTTGGAGTCAGAGTGTTCTAGGATCCTCTGCCCTTTTATTTATTCTACATTGTCTCTCCTAATAATACATGGAGAGAAGGGACGATTTTTAGGGACACTGATAACTTTTTTTTAATATCACCCCAGTCTTAAAGGATTTAGTTCAACAAACGTTTGAGATCTTCTTATGTGCTAAAGGTAACAATGTCACAACATTGGGCCCGTGGGTGAGGAGAAAGGTGAGAAAAAAATTGTGCCCATTTTTAAGAGAGACTTAAGAGAGAATCCACTGAATAAGTGAGAAGGAGGTAACCAGGCAAAGTGCTGGGAAATATTTGAGGAGGGAAAAGCCAATTTTATCTTGGAGGGTTAAGAAAGGGATCATGACTCTAACAGGATGAGGAGGGGGGTGAGGATAAAGGAGGTATCTTTAGAGGGAACGGTGTGGGAATAGGTTAAAAGGGGAATGTAGAAGGGGGTTTAGACTTAGGGGAATGGGAGGATAAGGGAGGGATTCCTGCAGTGGGGGTAGCTTAAGTAATAGGAGGGTAAGGTAGCAGGTAGAAGTAAAGTAGAGGAGTTAGGAAAGATAGGAAAAATAGAGAGATACGCACAAACATAAAAACAACGATTAAGAGTGGAATCTCTTAGGGAAAGTATATATACATATGTGTATATATATGTATGTATGTGTATATATGTATAAGTGCATGTATATATCAATACCTATATATAAATATATCCAATGCTCAACTGTAGCCTTGGCGTGATGGGTAGGGGGGAAGGAGGGGGAAAAAGAACAAAGTAAAAGTGTACAGCAGAGAACAAAAGAAAACCTACAAGGAAGTAAAGAAAAGATGGAGAGCTTTCAACATAATGCACAATATTTAATATATAGGCTTTCTTGAAATGAAAAGTTATTGTTATATATTTTGAATCCTCTCCTATGTTCTGCTGTGCACACATTTTTGTTTTTTATATTTTATATTTAAATTTACAATGTTTCTCTTTCTTTTCTTATTATGTATTTAAGTTTTAGCATTTGTCTAAAATTAAAAAAAAGGGGGGGTCATAGAGGAAGCAGGGCCTGAGAAGAGCCTTGAAAGGAAGAGACTTCAGCATAGATGCCAACAGAGGGGAGCTGCCCACACCGGGCCCTCCCCTCCCTTCCTTCCTTTGAGTACCGGGACTTAACAGTTTACAGGGTAGTGGAGGCTCTTCTCTTGGCTGCATTTCAAAATCGCTTGTCATCATTCCCCTAGTCTCAGATAAAAAGATGCCCTTCTCCATGAGACCCTTCACCACGGATCCCATTGCCATTTTCTCCAGCTGCTGCCCCACAGTCAGCCTCACTCTGTCTCTGATATTCAGCATCAGGAGCCCAGTAGAAAAACTTCATCATACTTAGGAGGAGCTTCCTCCCCAAAGGGGGGAGAGAACGTCCAGCCACCAGAATCTGAGTCACTGATACTGCCTCATGTTTTCTCTGAAGTTCAACTCACTTTCTCTTTGGGTCTGTATATACTTACAGGAAAGTATGTCAGATTTTTTTTGGGGGAAGGATGTTTTTATCAATTGTTTTTACTTATATCATCTTAATAAATGCCCATTTTTAGAAAGTTGATTAAGTCTGGCTGACAATGGAAATCAATCAATTACCTTAGAAAAATCCCCCTCAATGCCTCAAGACATCATTCCTTTAAAGTTCTGAGGGGAGATGTGGCCAAGCTCTCCAGGCCAGACCTGCCAGTGCTAATGGGGGTTAGGAGAGGGATCCCAGGACCTTTGCTACACTCCACTCAGTGGCCCTACTAATAAGTTATTGTAATAAATGTTAACAGTAAAACCTAAAATCTTATTCAGTCCAAAAATCTTTTATCATTCTTTTTGAATAATAAAAGAAACAATAACTCTTCTTTATGTAAAATTGCACCAGCTCTAAATCTCGCACTTGCTCAGTACCCCGTGCCTCGGGGACCCCTCCCTTCCTCTGAATGGAGAGGGTCTTCCACATCAGAGACCTCCTCCTGCATCCTTCCCTTAAGGAGGGGGCTCAGAGCAGCCAGCCCATCATTTCCTATCTGTTTACATGACTTCATCAGGTTGAGTACCTTCTCTCTCTCTCTCTCTCTCTCTTTCCTCTCCTCTCCTCTTCTATTCTATTCTTCTCTTCTTTCTGTCTCTCTGTCTCTCTGTCTCTATCTCTGTCTCTGTCTCTCTCTTCTCTCTGTCTCTCCTCTTCTTTCTGTCTCTGTCTCTCTGTCTCCCTCTGTCTCTCTGTCTCTTTCTCTGTCTGTCTGTCTGTCTCTCTCTCTGTCTCTGTCTCTTTCTCTCTCTCTGTCTCTCTCTCCCATCCCCCAGCTCTTCTCAATTTTCTTTTGTTAAACTATAAACTCCTTGAGGGCAAGAATTCTCATTTGCTGTTCTTTGGTTGTGCAAGGCTTTTGCACTGTGCAGGTACTAAATAGGTGCTCAATAAATGCTTATTGACTGACTGACTAATATCAACTGAGGAAGCATCCCCCAGCCCTGGACTGTTTTGGTTATTTCGCTGCATGTTACATACATACATTTCTTTATTTTACGGCTGTCTCTGCCCCTGCAAAGCATGGTGAGTTTGGGGAAATCTAGATCTCCAAGGTCCATCCTCACATTAAAATTCTATGATTCTTCTAGGATTTCTAAATATTGTATTGGTTTCCCCATAACTTTAACTCCCATAAGCAACATTAGTGTTTAGCAATTTTTTCCTTTGAGAAATCATAGCCCAACTCTTTTTTTAATCTTTGAAGTCCTGGAAACTGAAGGAAATGGCAATAACAATGAGTCCCAAGATGGGACTGACTAGGCTAAGCCTTTTTCATCTCCTGGCACGTGTTCTGAAAGGGTTCAGCTGCTTCCCTAAGGTTTTCCTTGCTAGGGAGCCATTGATGAGACTAGGACTCTCTGGCTGGGTTCTTGCTTCTAGAACCAGGTTCTCATTCAACTTTTCATCAGGGGTTTTTGATGAATTGGAGCAAGGGTTGAAGCCACAGTGGAGTCAGATCATCCTGCCTCATTCCACCAGCTCAGGTTGAGTGCATCTCAGAAACTCATTGAGCTAATTGAGGGAGGGCCTGGACTGTGTAAAAAGAACCTTAATGTGGTGTCCCATGGTACCCAATAGGTACCATTTTGAATGAGGAAACTGTATCAAAATGAAGTTTGGGGTGATTTTTGTCTCCACTGGTCAGTCAGTCAACAAGCATTTATTCCCATGTGGCAAGCACTTTGCTAACTCTGGGGATACAAAGAAAGGCACAGGCAAGGTCTCAGCCCATAAGGGGAATCCAAAATGCAGGTAATTCTGTACATACAGGATAGATAGAGAAA